GCTCAAATCGGAAATTACATATTTTTTACGATCGTCATGCGTGTCTGTGCGTGCACGCTATGGTGGAAATGAGTGGGGAAGGGTGGGAAGATGCCGATATCTCGTTTTAAGCGCGAATTTTAAAAGCAAATTACAAGGTATTGTGCGATTGTGGCTAATGCGGCACGGAGTAACGTTCTTACCTATATCGTTCTGTCCACAACCAAAAAGGTAACGTATTTTCTTCCCCTAAAAAGGGGCGTAGTTTGGTAAATATTTAACTCAATAATCACACTGCTTATAAGGCACACATATGTCTAATTTTGCTTCGTTGTCAAGAACTTGGGGTCCGAGCGTAATGTGAGAAATTACATGTGTAATACAGCAATGATTACTGCCACATTCGACCCAGGTCAACAGAACCTTTTTTTTTGTCATTTAGATTATTATTCCTATGTACAAGGACACAAATGTTGTTTTGCAAATGTTTTTTAGACGCAAGTTCTGATGTCTCCTTGAGTATTAGTTTGACAGAAGTTCATTACTTTAAATGAAACAACAACTTTTGGTTGTTTCATCATTTTCTCTTCGCACTCCGACTTTCGTGATCCCTGGAAAAAAAATAAAAAATAAATAACAAGTAGCAAATAGAATGAGTAGATTTTCGCTGAGGAGTATTTACGGATTGATTCTGTAGGTTCTGGAAGGTATTACTAAATAATTTGGTTTTTTCAACTATTTTGATACGGTAAATTGGCCACTGTAAAGAGTTTCTAAAACTGACGTTTCGACAAAAGGGAAAACGCTCGAAACGTCAGCTTTTTAAAACTCTTTCCGGCGGCCAATTTACCTTACCAATTCTGTTGATAAAATCAAATAATTTTATTCACAAATAGCTTAATTTATCGATCACACCAGCTGTAAGGACACTTGTTCCTCGCACAAAAGCCACACGAATCTATCTATCTACACGTAGGCTATATTCACCCGGCCAACTGTCTACTCCCCCGCCTCCACCCCTCCCCTCACTTTTTACTGTCGCTCACCCCCTTGATACAAATTTCTTTCTCTCCCCAGCCTTCCTCTGCCATTTAAATCAAAGCTTGCGGCCATACTTGTCGCTAAGAAAATACCAAGCACTCGCTCTCCAAAACTACGCATGCTCTGCAGGGTACACAATGATAGCAAACAAAGAATACTCATATTATAGTTTCGTATATGTATCATTGAAACAGGTGCAAAACTAAAATTGGCTTTGTCTTGCTAAAAACCACGCTGTCAACTAATTCTTTAACCCTCTCATTTCCTAACCTCACTTTCATTCAACGATTTGGTTTCATTTCCAAAAATATAACTGGCAGAGAAAGATGTTTTCGTATTGTAAAGAGCGCGGAGCAAATAAAAAACTTTTTGAGTTTTCATGAGGAATCGAACCTCAGACCGTCGAATTCCGCGCTCCGATGCAGTACCACTGAGCCACATAGACTTTAAAGCAAGCTAAGTCATTACGAGTCCTATGCTGGTGACAAGACGAGATAACATATTTCTCGACTTCACTTCAGAATGTATCCTTTGCGATCTTTCTTATTCTGTTTACACACAAAGTAAATGATCGATTATCATCAGAGTTTGAAGTATATAATACCTTGATCTGGAGGGTTCGTCCAACGGCTTCCTTCCTTTTTAGGCCTCTGTAAGAAACTTATCCAAACCAAAATGGTCTTCCTCTTCCTTTTCAAACTGAACCGGCCCACCACGCCGCTGACCACGATCTGTGCCAGCAAATACCTTGTCAGGCTATTATTAGCTCACAGCCTTCTGAAGTAAAACTTCTTCGGTGTCTGTTCGTTCGCTTGCCGGCAATCGATCTTAGAGTAAAATTCTTATCTTCTTCCTCGAGCTACATTTGCAAAGTTACAACAAAAATCAAACGTAATTAGCTCTACTACTTTACATCATCTGCGCAAACCAGTTTAATAAGTTTACCTCTCCTTAATACAGTACATAAATACACATGTACAGCCATCAGCCACAACTGCCAATCTCACCTTTCGTAGCTGGTTCTTCTGGTTTTTCTTCCGATTCTACTTGCTCTGATACTGGATCTTCGACAGCCGGCGTTTCTTCTCTTTCATCAGGCACGTTTTCACCTTCTGGGGGTGGCTCGTCTTTTGTAATGTCATCCAAATATGGTGTAGTCGAAGAGACATCCTCCTCATCCTCCATGCCTGATGAGAAATCTACCAAGTCTCCTGTTTCTGGTGAAGCGGACTCTGACATTGTAAAACTGAATATCCACAAACGTTTACGCCTGACCTCCTATATGACACTTTTAAACTTTAAGTAAAAGGACCAGAAAGTTAGATCTTACGCAAGGACGAAATTTAGAAGTGACGGTGGATTGTGTTTTCAAAACTCACACTGGCGCAATTTTCTATGAGTGGCCATATTTGGGAAAGCAGATGTGAACGGACCAATCAGAGTAGTCATTATAATTCTCTTTCAATATTCCTCCAAATAAGGAAGTCTCAAAGTTCAAAGTGAACCCAGAGCGATCTACTGCTTTTTTTCTTTTTATTCTTCAGCAGAAAAAAATACAATCTGATAGAGTTTATTAATTCAGATCGAAAACTCGCTTCGGGGACCACAAACTTATATACGAAATGATCCTCGTGTGAACAGCGATAAAGGAAGTTGCAAAAATAGGAAAAATGAAAAATTTCAGGCTTCGCTACGACGGGATTCGAACCTGTTCCTCCCAGAATACCAGACATATGGTTTTTACTACCTCCTAAGATTCGAAACCACATATCACAAAAGAGGACAATATAGGCAGTTTTTTATTTTTTCCTTGATATTGAACGCGATTAATTTTAGTCGGACTTGGAGGTGAAAAAAAAAAAGGATCATGACAAAGATGAACTGAAATAAGGGAAAGAGAAGCCTAAAAAATTCTCGGTTTCCACTGGGTTTGAACTATGCCTTCCAAACACTAGCTGGGTGCTAATATCAACTGAGCTAACAACGCCAAACCACAGGCATTTTGAAAGCTCTCGTGTAAAAACAAACAAACAAAAACAAAACAGAAAACAACAAAAAGAAAAAGGCCTCGACGTGGTTCGAACTCATGCCTTCCATGCAAAGTGAGTTTCGAAGCCACATTTTGGAAGCGAATTTCGTCCAAAGTGTGCAGTGGTTGGCGGGGGGGGGGGGGGG